GCCCGCGCGCGCTCCCTCGTCGCGGCTGCTTTCCTCAAAGGACTCCGGGATGAAGATGGACCCCCTGACCGAGCCTACCCCGTCAACATCTCCATCCTCCGACGAGCTATGCTCGATGCCCTGGACTATGACGACGCCACCTGGGGAACCCTCAACCGCCACGTCCGCGACCTCTGCATCCTGGCCTTCTTCTGGCTTCTACGCCCGGCGGAGTACCTGGATATCGGGAACCCTGAATCCGGAAGCCAAGCCTTTCGCCTCTGTGATGTCTCCTTCACTGTCCGCGGCGGCCTCCAAGTCCGCGGCGACACCATCTCTTTGAATGACGTGAAAAACCACGCGTGCCTCACCGATGCCACGTTTATGTTCACTGACCAAAAGAATGCTGTCCACGGCGAATCCGTGGGCCACCGCCCGACCTCTGATCCGTGGCTTTGCCCGGTGAAGTTGCTCGCGCATGTGGTCTACCACCTCCGCACCAACGGCGCCGATGCCGATACTCCCCTCTTCAACCACTTCAATGCGGCCCGCAACCGGTGGTATCCTGTGAAGCCCCAGTTCATCACCAACGCCCTCCGCCACGCTGCGGCCCTCATCTCTCACGACACCGGCATCAACCCTGACAAGGTCTCTGCCCGCTCCCTCCGTCCTGGTGGTGCCACAGCCCTTCTCTGCGCACATGTTGACTCGGATGCCATCCGCCTTCTCGGCCGCTGGAAGTCCGACGCCATGGTCTGCTACCTGCACATCCAAGCCGCTGCCGCCACCCACCACTACTCCCAACAGATGTTGGACCATGGGGCGTACAACTTCCCGGGAGGCACCTACGATCGCCACCTCCTCCCAGCGCAAGCGCCCCAACACTTCAACGAGATTCTTCTCCACGAAGAACTCTACGAGGACTAACCTACCCCTAGTCCTCAGCCCCCCTGTCCTCGCCTCCACCTGGACAGGGGGAAACTTCTCCCACCCCGCTACGCTCCCTCCCTGTTCTGCCTTTGGCTTTTGGGTTGCACGACTCAAGGCTGTCCCGTGGAACATCACATTCCCGGGACTCCCTTTTGCCGTGTGGGATCCATCCGGGACTCCCCAGTCCCGAATGGAACCCCGGGGTCTGGAGACGGTCGGCTCAGTAAATGGCCGAGTCTCTCCACTCACCTAATCCTCTACTAGTCGTGCCTAGCTGCTCTGGGCGAGCGCAGCTTGTCTGCGCTCGCAGCGAAGCACTGGCCTGCTTTGTATATACCCTTAGTGGAAACTTCAGACCTTGACCCGTCTTCTAGAGTGGGCGTATTGTCGCTCCAGAGACCCATGCTTTGGCGACTTTGAGTTGCAAGGTTGATGAGTTTGTTTTTCTGAAACTGTCTAGATATACTCAAGATAGAGCCACTTTATTTTAAATGTACTGAGCTGGCTTAAAACGCGCCCTTAATTCTTTTATGATATATAGGCTGGCTTCGTGCAGCTGAAACAGAAAGCAGACCTGTATTATTATCTTAAGGTGAGGGTCCATTATACAGAATTTGGTGTTTAGAGCGAAAACCCGGGATTGGTGGTTCTCATTTCGGTAGAGGATCCCTTCACCATCCATTTTCCTCCCTTCCACGGCAATCGGTTAAAGGGTTGAGGGCTCTGGCAGCAAAACTGCCGAGGTAAAGTGACGTCTCTCTAACCCAACGGTACCGGTATTTTTATCAAAATAGGCTTCATTGATTGCGAAAGGTCCCAAAATAGCTATTTTTGCTTTTGAGTATTTGGGTTTTACTGAATTCTTTGGGTTTCGGTTTTGTAACGGTACGTTACCGGTACCAGTAGACGAACCGATACCAGGTACCGTCGGAACAGATTTGAGAACAATTGACTGGAGAAGTTTTTTTCAACTTTTACATGAACAACTTTCAGGGGACTAGCTGTTCATGTCATATATTGAGTTTTCCCGCATTATCGCCGAAAAAGAATGCGGCCGAGCGTGGTAAACGGTGGTAAAAGATGGTAGAAGATGGTACCGCCCTTCACCTGTGAAGGAGTGAAACAAAAGCAATCACCCGCAGTAGCTCATTAGATATTTAAAGTTACTAATCATTGTGTGAAACTTAAAACTAGAAGATGGTACCATCCTTGTACTTTGTATGACTGGTACTTTGTATAAGACGGCAAATAAGGTGGTTGAAGGTAGTAAACCAGGCGGTTGAAGGTGGACATCCAATCGTGATAAGCTAGCCATAGTTTGCAATGTTCTTTCGCATTTATGTTTCGTATAAATTTAGGAATGTGGAATCTTCAATGTTCATATAATCGCCTTATTCCTCTTAATCTGTTCGAGCCATAAATAATATAAAAAGCCATTAAGTAATGTCGACGAAACGGGTACCCAACGAGTACTCGCACGCCGGTCCGCATCGGTATAACAGCGAGTTGAAAATATATAAAACTCACTTTTGTGCCCGGCCGGTAAGATTGCTATAGTAAATCAGTACAGCAATACGTTTCCAGGCAAAATTCTCTTCAGAGGTTTGGAAAAGCGAGATTCCGTTTCGATTTTCGAACAGACCAAGAAGAACAATAACAGTCGATCAACGACATCCACTGTTAGCGACCTCATTATCTCAGTTGCTGTTGATAGTATGGCCCTGCAATCAAAGCGATATCGCTTCCTTTTAGTATAAGGAAGAGAGTAGGCCTTGGTTGTAGGGCCATACTACCAGCAGCAGTCGAGATCTAAGGGCCGCTTGCAGCGAGGGAACAATTCGTCGCTCGCTATTGCAGCGAGTCAGTTGCTCTGAATCGGTCGACAAGTCGATCGGCCGATGCTCCGAGAGCTTGGAATGAGGGAAAATGTGAGCGCGAAATTTTTAATTTTCCTGTTGGAGCCCACAGGCACCTCTGATAGTGAGGCTAGCCACTGTAATTCAGCACCTCTAGTTCAATTCCTGGTTACTCTATCTTTTTGGTCTTTACCATGGGCAAACTCAATACAAACAATCCAAAACCTTTTTCTTCTCAGTGTTGGGTCTAATAACACTGCAGCTACTGTATATCAAGGTAATTTGTTGATTTGGGCGAGCTGAGAAGAAAAAGTGATCTTTCTGGCTGGTCGCTTTGAAGTCTGGATCTGAGAATGCCAGTTTCCTTAAATTCCTACGGTGGTGCGGTCTTTTTCTTATCCGGGTCCGCTAAATATCTAAACCGGCCAACAGTGCGCAACCGGTTCCATTATCTGAGACGATTGAAAGAGCAGAAACCCAAACAATACTGGAAGATTTATGCTGAGGCTTGTTCGTATGCTCTTAGAAAAGGCGTTCCAGTAAACGAGACGGAAGAAGATAGAGCCTTTGACGGTGTGCTTGAAGAAGAAGAGACGATTCCTCCTCCAGCTGTTAGCAACGAGACTGTCACTGCTCCTGCCACCAACCAACTTGGACGACCAGCCCTTCCAATTGAGACTTGGGGCACTGCGACCAGAACCAGACGAATCTCTACACGCTCCCGAACGGCCGCTGCTGCCAAGAAGGACTAACCTACGCCTGAAGCAGTTAGAGTCAACATACTACTCCATTTCCAGCAAACTCAACACCACCACGCACCTTTGAAACGACGTCAGTTAAACATACGCCAGTCCCTCGTCTCGAACCGCCGAGGAAAAATGTCATCTTCTGTTCGTAAAAGCAAGAAGAAAGCTGCCGAAGACAGCACCAGGGAATCAGCTGGTTTCTCTCTATTCAAGAATATGACGGAAGCGGAAGAATCTGTCGATTGGGTTATTGATATTGACACCGACTACCCAGAAAGCCATGGTCACGGCTTGTCTGTCCATTGCATTGAACAAGGGCTGCTTGTGGAGAATGCGTCTGGTAAAGTCAAGGCCAATACTCTGAAGATCTATCTCGAGAACTTTGTCGATTTGAACGATTACGATCATTACCAAGGCACCATCGTTCTCAAGGGCGAAGGCTTCTTGATCTCGAAGCCGTCGACTCCATCCTACATGTTGAACCATCATCAAGATCTGCATGCCCTAGAGAGCGAGTTCAATCAGAACGTTGCTGATGAGCATTCAGCATGGATCACTGCCATCAACAAGGACAAGTCTCGACAAACCAAGACGATTCTACTCGTGATGCCACAAGCCACTGACATTGAAGGGCCTCGGCCGAGGGCACCTGATGGCGAACCTTCTTTTTTTTTTCTTTTTGGGGGGGGGCAAGTTCCATTTCGCGAGCTGCAGTGCGAGGATAAGGTTGAAGAAAGGGCCGTCGAACAGCTCTTCTTTCCTGGCTTTTGGAACCTTCGCATTATTGAAGGAGCTACTGAGATTGAAAAGGCTACGGAACAGAAGAAGAGTCTCCTCAGTGCTTTTGAAGGTATGAAGCGCCGTGCCAAGCCCAAGCCCAGTAGTTGAATGGAAGATCGCGAGAGGAGGCTTATTATGATGGTTGTTTTGGCTTACTAGCAGCGATAAACTAATATTGTGTTTGTTTGAACGTTCACGTGTAGGCTGCCGTATCCATGATTCTCGTGTCAAGAAGACTAGAAAGAAAGCAAAGCAGCAGCAGCCAATGACTATCGAACAGCAGCCAATGGCCATCGAACAGCGCACATCTCCCCCTCCCCTTCAGCACGGCTACTCTTTCGCTCGGTATGCTTTGGAAGATGTGCCAAGCACTGCTGTTCCTACTAGTGGTGGAGCCGAGCCTGTCAAGAGCATTTGGGGACTCTTATCTGCATCGACCACAACGACACCACCTCGTCCTAGTCTTCCTCGTCCAATCAAGGAAGAATCGCCTTCTCCCATCAAGCAAGAAACGCCTTCGCCTCCACGAAAGCCAGCACCAAAGCCAGCTTTGAATCTCTTTGGATCGCCAACCAATGAGCCCAAGAGCAGCACTCCACCATCAGGTTCCTTTGCAGAGGACTCGCAAGAATGCTTTCAAGCAAACTGTCAACAGCGAAGACCAACGCAGAGCTCGCGACGCATCTCGAAGAAAGAGCGGCCAAAACAAGAGGAACACTGCAATCAATCGAGCTAGACGTCAACAGTTAGCTGACAGACTTGCAATGATGAAAGCACAGAACGAAGCTGAGCTTGCCGCCGCTAAAGAGATTGCCAAAGGGATGAAGAGTAAAGGAGGAGATAGCGAGGGAAGCCAGCCCACTGCCCCAGAAGGCAATGGCGATGATGAAGCTTTCTTCGATTCTATCGAGAAGGAATTGACCAACGACGTCAATACCAGCATGAATACCGTCTCGTCTGGTGGCTACGCCTCCGCAAGTGGTGGTGCCGGTGAAGGTGTCTCTCCCTCTGTCTCTGTCACTAGCAATGGAACGGTCAAGAATGAAGGCTACAAGAGTGACGAGGAATCCTTGGTTTCTATTCAGTCGAATGACTCTGTGTTTGACAGCAACTAGATGTTGGTTGTCTATATTGTAGCATGCAGATTAATATATAAAACAATGATTCTATTTGCTGTCCAATGCTACCTATTCATTAATTCGTTAACTCTCCTCATCTCGTGGATACCCGTCATGGTAAGTTGGCCCACCTTCAACTACAGTTGCTGGTGCACGGAGCTTCTGCTTTGTCTTGGTTCTTGAATTCTTCTTCTCAAACCTAAATTGCTTTCTCTCTCGCTTTTTCACCTCTTGGTAGAGATGATCACGAAACACTTTGAGCTTGTATTCTCTGTATTCGACTCTGGACTGATACAGCTGTCGAGGCTTGATCTTCTCTCCTGTTTCAGGGTCAATTTCAAGATGCTTCTTCTCATCGATGTCTTTTTCAAGAAGCGGTTTTGCCTCGGAGCGATGCCATGGGACTTGCACAGGTGGATTGTCCTTTCGCATTTGGAGGATGATTGCCATATCATGGCCATAAGCCTCACAGTCAACAAGGAGACGATCGTAGTCTCTCAAAACAGACTTGATGAGATTGGCCATGTTTGTTTTGAAAAGGGCAATGGGAAAGATTTGCCACTCAATGCGCCTTTGGTGAACCTCAACCGGATCGGAAAACTGCGTCACTTCTCCTTCAATAATGGCACTGAGAAGGAGCTTCCTTCCTTCGCTATCCTTCCATTTTGGGGTGTTTGTCTTCTTTGTTGGATCATTGCAAGATTTGATGAGGTTCTCCGTATTGCGTTTGAACTGTTTCCACTCCCATTTCTTGTACTCATCATGGCTTTGATGCAGCTGCCGGAGGTCGGTCTCTTGGGTGATATTGCCGCAGAGTACCTGAAGTCGGAGGAGCTTCTTTGCCTCGCTATCTCTCCAGGACGCATTGGACGGCTCATCTTGGTGTTGCTGTGCCTCTGCTAATGAAATGCATCTGTTGTGGTTGACTCGTTGCTGCTACGGGCTGCCTGTCATAGGTGATGAATGGTGTGAATCGCGTGATAACAGGTGATGAATGGTGATGAATCCGTGATGATTAATGCTGTGATGAATATAATGTGATGATTAATGATGAATTAATGATGAAATTCATCATTTGGCGATGAATTCATGATGAATCAATGATGACGTCAAAAAGCTTTGCCGGCTTCAAACTGACACTTCAGTACCGGTGCTTAAATCTATTGAGTCATAATGACCGCGATTCATTATAGGGGAAACGTTCCTGTTATCTTT